ATCATTTCAGCCACCTCCCAGTTTTTTTATCATAACTCGTGAATATAAGCCTGTGCAAAAATGTTAAAATAGATTACGGGTCGTTAAAAAGTGTTTGAGTTCATACGGGGATTACTATGGAACAATTTAAAATTTCACTATAATTGTTCTAATTTATGATCTAGAGGTACAATTTCGTTACAATAAACAGTATTGGGGTATTTCCCCAAAATTTCACGCGGCCTTTGTTCTAGCCAAACGACGCGCCGAGCTTTTCACTCCCAGTTTACTCAATATTTATGGGGAATAACATTGCAACCAAAGACAAACAGACGTAATACATTGAATATTTCTCACTGTAAAACATCGTCGCTAAAACATTACTGCCATCTGTTGAGTACACTATACGCATACGGTAGTACGCAAAATAGATGCCGATAGTGTAAAAACGTCAAACGCATGGGAGTTGACTATGCGCGCCACAGGTAGCGGTACTACCAAGTACGATACTTTAAAAATTTACCGTTAAATGCTTGTTCCATGAACAAGTTGCGAGTGTTATGTCTGTTTGTCTGTGTTGCAACCTTTCATTAGGCGCTGTCGTTTTTTGAGAAAAGGAAAGGCTGCGTGCAACTTTGTGCAAGACCCTTTCGGGAAAAATCGAAAGGCAGTGCGGTGTATCAAATCAACTGAATGTTAAAATATTATCGTAGCAACCACAATTACCAAAAGGGCAGCTCGAACCAAAGCTAGAACGATTAGAGTGAAATTTAAAAAAAATCATCCATATTAATTTCCCCATAATCTCCATACAAACATAAAACCTTTTACACGTCCCCTACACTTTCATTAATTGTCAATAATTTTTCCACAGTCTCATTTTTTTCTGTAAATGAATCTAATTGCTCGGTTTGCAAGTTTTTTTTCTTCCAAAATTAACCTCCCAAATATCCACATCCAGTAAATGGCCTGTTAAAAAAATATTTCAGATATTCCGGGTCATAACGAGACCGATGTGGACCATTTCAAAAATTGTACCGAGACAATCGTAGTGGATTCCGGCTGCGAAATAGTAAACAGAAAATGTAAATGCTGGAACAAAATGCAACTGTGTAAATCTAGATCTATCACTAAATGGGATTTCAGAAATATGCAGGTAGGTTATTAGTCATTGCTTACTGAATAGCTCGAGTGAAAATAATCATTTTCTACAGGAATGTCAACTGAACGTTGCAAATTTAGTGAAGTCAGAGCTAGAATTCGATGAGGACTATACTGTTCCTCCCAGGGTTGCCTACGGTATGTATTACTTCGTCCCATTTCACAGTGGAAGTTGTGCTAATTGATTACAATATTTCGTCCGTTGTCGTATAAGGAATTACTGTTGTGATGATTGTTGCAACGATTTCTATTTGATTAGCCGTGGAATTTACAATAAGAAATCTGTTTACCTAACCTGGGATGAAGCTTTTTAAATTCAATAACTCGAGAGGTTCAGAGGCTAGACACTTCCACCTAGCAGTTCGGTTTTAAATGCACCAAAGCAGAAGTTACGTACGACTTAGTGGTGTGGAACCCTAATTATATTATGATTTTTTTTTGATATTTTGGCAACAGGAAATAATTTTACGCTCAATTTAAACTACCATAATTATTATTTTAACTTTTTGTTTGTTCCAAATTTAAAAAAATCACATTCATTTTCAACCTGCCCATTTCTACACAATGTCATTTAGTTTTTTTTCTACCGAGTTCAGCTGAGCAAATCTCGGCAAAAAACAGTTTCACTGAGATCTCAGCAAAAGTGACATTTGATTGCTGAGTCTCGGATAATGATTAGCTGAATCTCAGCAAACAAATGAAATGTTTGCTGAGATCTCAGTGAAACTTTTTTTTTGCCGAGATTTGCACAGCCGAGCTCGGTAGATAAAACTAAGTGTGTACACAGTAACTTACCAACCTTACCATAATTACTATCTTTGACCCTCAATGCCTGTGACAAAGCAAAGGGAGAATATCCTGACTTCAGGCTTGTAGGTATTTGTTTCTTACTTTTTTACTTTGCCTGGTCCAACGTCCCTCAGGATTTCACCTGCAGTACAATGTTTATCGAGCGTCCCACACTTCCTGGATCTTGCGCCACTTGTTCCAACCACCTCGCGCTCCCTTGTGTTTTGTGTCGGCCGGCAAATACTATTTGTGCGGGATTGTTGTCCGGCATTCTTACCCACCCATTGTACCCTTCCAGCTTTTGCGACTTTCAAGATACTGGGCTCACCATAAAGTTACGCCAGCTCGTGGTTCACTTTTCCCTTACATACGCCGTTTTCATGTATCACGCATCGAAATGTATTTGTGTTAAAATCACCAAAGCTGGGCAATCTAAAAAAAAATCCTAATAGGGGAAATGACGGCTTCGGCATGACAGACTATTTTCGGCATCACAAATTGAAACACTATTTTCACTGGATTTTCTTACGAAAACAGTTCGCTGAATGCATGCAAACGATTCTTTATGCTTTCAGCTTCAATTTGACTATATTTTTACCATTGAGAAAAAGCAATCTAGCAAGGTTTTCTTGAAATGCAACACACGCACTACAAATTGTAGCTGATTTCGAGTTGCCGATAATAGAACAGCAGATTTACATGCAGTTTAAATGGAACGGTTGCCGAAGAAAAACTGGTTGCCGACAATACTCGCTCTCACTAGAGAAGATTGGAGCTTTGTAAAAGCGTTTCAAAACAGTTTTTGACAATTCTTTCGACTGAAATTGTTAGAGCAGCTGGCAGCAAAAGATTGTAAACAAACCAATACTGCATATGTGTGCGTTCCTTAGAGAAAAAGGCTATAGAAAGAAGGTCGCTGCTTAGGTTGCCGAGAATACGTAAATTCCCCTAGGTATTGCAAAGTATTCAGCATATTTTTAGGGGACGGGCCCGGCTAGTGGTTATTATCCATGCCTCTTATGCAGAAAGTCACGAGTTTATATTTCAATCCCGGACAAGACACGAATAACCTAAATATGTGGTAAAGCGTCTATAATACATTCCTTGTAGCGTCCTTTTTCTCATAACACTTTCACAACTCAAATTATGGAATATGGCTCTAATACCGATGTAAAGCTTGGGCCCATCGATAAATCTCCCGTTCTTCAATATTTTGTAGACCATTGTAAATGATTTTCTTTCAAATGTATGCATAGGACCAATATTAGGGACACATAGGGCGACATTAGGGACATTAACGCTATTAAGGGTTTTGTGAATGTGCTGAAATCAAAACTGGCGAAGAAGAAATCAATGTCACAAATTTACAGATCTTGGTGTTGGTATAAACCTCGTGAAGCTTAAGATTTTTGATCTTGAAATTAGGAAGTATGATGAGAAACGGACTCTGTGCACACTCAATTCATTTTTACCGGATCGTGTGATCTCAAATTGCACCCAAATTTAGTGCCTTATGCACACAAAAAAATAAAACAAAATCTAAGAAAAAAATGTGTTTTAGAATTTCTGTACTCATTCTAAATGTGGAAAAAATCGAAAAAAGATGATCAAAAATTGAGTGTATTTCCTCCACCGTAAATTTTTTCCTGTGTAACATGTTTCAGTTTATATTTTCCATCGATTACTGAGATAATTTCCTTATCATTTTACTAAAACAGTTTTTTTCTACGATAGGGGTAAGAGGGGAATAGTGAACAGGTGGGGCATAGTGAGTATCCCGTGCACCAGCTTTTCTATCAAGTTGGCTATCAAGGCTATCAAGGCTAGTTCATCACCATATATCGAGTTGAAGGCTGTTCCTTAAAACACCTGCACGGCCGTTGAATTCGACTTATTTTTTGATCTAGTTTACTCAAATTTGAAAACACGCAGTAAATTTTCCTAGATTTTCCTCATAATCACGCAGCAGTTTGAGGAAAAATTAAGAAAATATTACTTAATGACCTTCAGTTTTGTGATTTTGAGTAAACGGAACTTCAATTTTAGTCAAATCCTTGATTACCATTATAATATATCCTGATATTTTTCACTAAGTTTTTGGATAATTAAAAAAAAGGAAATCACCCAACGCATTCCAAAAGTTCTTCATAGGGTATTCCGTCAACTCTAAGGTTTGATGTACATAATGTATATTCATAAAGGAATTTACAAATCTTTGTTAATCTTAAAAAACTTAGCTGGTAGAATTACGAAAAAAATCCGGAAAGTTTTCGCAAAAGTTATTACATAAACAATACAAATGTGGAAGACAGTATCAACTAGTTTTAAAGATATGTTTGATAAAATATAAATTTTAAATGCTCCACAGCACATCGTCAAAACAATGACCTTGTAAACCTTGACCGATATTTCCTGATGCTTAAAAGGCCATCACGAAAACAAAATAATCGTTTTCTGAGCATACATAAATAAACTTTGATAATTGTTTACTTCCCAGAAACTTTTGCAGCGCAGGAAGAAAAGAAGAAAAAGGAATCAGCACAGGTGAGTACAAAGTTTTAATTTGTTTTACAATCACTCAAAGAATGTAAGGTACATTTCGTGATCTGAATAGATACGCATTTATCGTATTTGTAATTGGAAGACATTGCGATGATCTAGAACTGCATTATCTTGTTCGTATAGGATCAACAACATACAGTGACTTATTTTCTCATACTTTCGTATAAGTATCTATAGGTAGTTGAGCACCTACACCAACTTATGCGGATGTTCCGCACGTAAAAGTCCAACTCCACACCATAATGGAATTGTAAACATTGGTTGTTTTTGCAAGCAAAGCGATGACCTAAGCACGTGAAGTATCTTAGTGTTGGTCAAATATGACGATATAAACGATGATCACTATGACGATGTGAGATATAAATTTACCCTTATAACTACCACAGTTCCCTTTTTTTCAATATACACACAGCGTACATCTTGTAAGTGTGATATAATTAAGTGCGCAGCGTTGCTGTATTAAGGATTACCATTACCATATGTGTATAGTGCAGACGACAGTTGGCGTCAGACTGGTTGACTTATAGCAGGGCTCTTTAGTTTCATATTATCGCTTTAGTAAGTCGGATTGTACTGTGAAGACCAGATTTATAAAAAATCAACCAAGTGAACTAGTAATTACAGTTTTGCAAGATTGAAATTATATATCGTCAGTGTTTCTGTAATATACGCTCAAATACACAGCAAATACAAATTATTCGTGAGCATATCGTTTGCAGATGTTATTAGAATTGATAACCATACGTCCGCGAAAGTAGTATTGCATATCTGGTTAAACGATCGCTGTGTGTGCTTGTTTGTTTTTACGTTTCCCTGTTCATAAACAAAAAATTGACTCAAGCGACATAACACCGCATTCCGGAGCAATTACTGCTATCGATTTGAAATGAGCTGATCAACCGTTCGGTACAATAGCTTTCCTCATTGAAGATCAACAGATGCGAAAATAAATTCCTCGATACGGATGCCAAGTAAATGAATAATCGTCATTCGTGTACTGCCATAGTATTGAAAATATTCGTCTGCTGAACGCGATGAAATCCTATGCTTGTTTTCTCATTCCGATGCTCGAGGCGGTTATGTCAACTCTTTAAATATGAGCAGATTCGTGAAATCACTCTATGGCAACGGGAAGCCTAGAACGTAAACCTTGATGTGTACATTTTTTCCAATCAAACGTATTTGTTATTGTATACCCAGAAGCTTCATATCTTGGAAATGAACAAAAAAGTGTGACTGATGTGTATCGAGTGTATATTTCGACTTCTTCGGGGTTGGTGTTGTTTGGTCGTAATCTGGAAGTGTAGCTCCACGAATGATAAATGTATTACATCCGACTTAATGTGAGCAATAGAATAATGACCACAATGGAAATGATCAAATGAGGATTTATGGCATATAAATTAGGTTTTCTTCATTTTGACTCAGTTATTTTTATTCCGCAATTTACAAACGGTAGCAAAACATGAAAAGTAAATCACAAACGAAGCATTCACATAGTGCACCGTAAGCTCGTTGTACTTCGTTTGTCGACGTAAACAGCTCTCGAAGCGCAACGTTCATATAGACCCGTATGATACAATTGTTTAACTCATCAAGTGGCAGTAGTGCAGCAGTTACTTGGTAGGGTAAGCAATGGCATCGACGATCGACACCTAACAAGGTGAAAGAATCAGTTGAAATACGTTAATCTCGACGAAAGAATGTGTTTCTGCAGAACGTTAAATACTGAGCCTGAGTGTAGACAACATTGAACTGATATAGTACGCCCAAATTGGTTGAAATGCCCTGTCGAAGCCCTTGCTTACTCATTGAGTTAAATGTGAACTGTTATGAGCAAGATGCAAAGGTATGCAAGAAGATGTGACGTAGGACTTGACCCAGAATCGGAATTAAAGCACATTGATTTATTTAATTTAGCTGCAATGGGAAGTTTTAGATTTAGCTAATCAATAGACAATGAATCACATTATTTTAGCGGTTCGTTTTTTTTTTCATTCACTTTTCATACTTCTGGTTCAAGAATGCTTGACTTTGTATTAACTGATTCAAATTATATTTTATTTTATTTAAGTTTTCAGCCCGGTCTCCGAGAAGACAAACGACAGTTTGTGATGTAGTATAGTGTCTCTTTGTTATGTATTTATAATTCTATTTGTGTATTTTTTTTAAATAATATGCCCAAATCACTGGACGTTTCTTTTTTACTCCCAAACAATAACCTAATTCCGAAGAAGTCAAGTTGCTCATAATCCACAAAGTGTATATTTTTATAAAATGTGTGGTTTTATTACAATAATTAGCTACAATCAAATCCAATGAATTAGACTTATAGGCACATATGATGAAATATCTGATGTTCAATGATGAAAATAAAATGAACAATAGTATCAATCCCATCGAACATTTTCAACTGTACCGTGAACATAGTGTGTGAACAGCTGCAACTGCTATAACTAGAGCATTTCATCCAATGAGTTCGTGATCTACAAAGTGACTTCCAGCATACTACAGTGCCGAAGAAATGAAATTAATCATATTCATCTGTATGCTGAAACTGATGGTTCCGACTGAAGCCTCGACAGGTAATTCACTACTCTGCGAACCGTAAACCGGGGCAAATTGATCATTGTTTTTACGTAAATACCGAAATAAATGTCTACAAAAAATAACATTGACCAGCTAATGGTATTAAAAGCAGTAGTTATGAGGACTCTATCGTTCTGTATGATTACTTATCATATTGGATGTTTTGATTATTTTTAGGAAATTTTTGAAATCTCAAATTTAAAATTGTCGATATGTGGTGAAATTGATCAACCCTAGCTTCCCAGTGTATGAATTTGGGTTCCCTGAATCCGCATCAGACGTAAGTATCCTTGAGCGAAGTGTATTTTTAACAAATGCCAAAATAGATTTTTTTAAATATGTACTGAGTTGCGCCTAACTGTAGGCAATTTAGCATTATAAATTTGAAGAATAACCAGTAATTTCTTGACACGGAAAACTTTTTATTCGTAATATTTTAAATACTTCGAATGCAGTGATACTAAGTTTAGTCAAAAAACGTCTCTCATGCTAATAATAACAGTCCTTTAATCGTTTGTTTCAATGATTGCTATTGAACGCCATTAAAGTAAAATATATTGTTTGAAGAGAAAAACTTATCAAAACGGTCATTAGAGTCATTAGACATTTCTCTTGTTATCTACTTCCGAAAATTTTCTACGGGGCAGCTGAAAACAAAAGGCTCAATTTTACCTCGGTGATTAATATGCTCCCGGATTATGGTTACATTTTTTCGTATAATGTCAAGTGGTTTTCTAGTAAGGTATGAAGCATAAAAGTTTCATATGGACTCCTAAATCGAACAATTGGCTTTATTCCAAAGATAGTGGAAACTAGAAATACTCAGAGGGAGAGATGGGCGGAGAGAATGTTTTGAGCCAAATGTCAATATCTGAGCCAATCGAACATTCCCATTACAATGTTTCCGAAGATTTCCTATTCTTACTACATTAAATTTGAGAGTATTGTAATCGAACAGAAATTCAATCACCTTTATGTTTCGTGTGCTTCCTAAATTCAACTAGTTTTTGGAATCAAAACAATATTCTAATTCTATTGAAACAATATTCTAATTGATAATTGACACCAGAAATTTGCAAAATATTGCGATGCACTCAATTGAGGGGGTTAGAAGGAAAGGGGTGTAAGTGACTTTGATCGATTCTCTTCATCGACTTTCTCTTTCGTTAACAATTCAGCTGCAAACACATTCTTTGATTCGTGTGCCGTTCTGGATACTAGATGAGAAACTCCTTTATCAAACTATGTGGCAGAAATAGTGCAAAATCTGTTTTTAAAGCTGTGGCTATCAAAAGAGAATCGATCAAAGTCACTTACACCCCTTTCCTTCTAACCCCCCCAATTTGCAGTTAAATCGAATCAAAAGTAAAATTCATGTGAAATGCTAGCTTCTAGCAAGGGTTGCAAGATAATTTAGGTACAAATCTTTGCTGCCGAATTGTATTTTGTTTTCTCCGCCCTCTGAGCCAGCCGCGTCGATATAATTAGGAAATAGGTACGAATGTATTCACGTGATACTCGCATTGTTGGAAGTTGAGAAATCCTCTGCACTTACACGAAAAATCACTGGAATGTTTGATAAAAGGGTTGGGTTTGCAGCAGGGTTTGTTTTGGCAAACGTATTCTGCATTAAAGTGATGCGTTCATGTTACGAAGGAAGGTGACTAATGAATCTTCAATATGAAGGGTGAATCTTGACTATGAAGATTAAACCCATGATTTTCTGCTCAGTAAACAAAAACGTTCACTTTAAGGCCACCGAGCCCCTTATATCACATAACACCACCTAATGAATACGATCTTCGACGGTCATGTTGATTTTCCAGAACCACATCAATTCCCATGAGAATTTTATAAAAATATTTCTGGCTGGTATTTTATTGGCAGGGAAAGTGGCCAGAACCTGAGGTAAACTAAATCACATCATAAATTAAGAATATGACCATTTGTTGCCAATTCGAGCGCCAAAAATGGTATTGGTCGTACGTATCACATGAAAATTTAGACGAAACTCCACTTATCAGAAATAATTTTCCTTTTCTTCTCTGTCCAGACTTGAACATTTTTTCCAGTAATAAAATACGTTAGAAGGGTAAGATCTCACTATAGATGAATAAATTCAGGTTTTGTTTTCACAACACTCCCGTGCAAACATAAGCCACACTCGCACGAACTAAAGCCTGCTTCATCACGAGCCAGTTGTTTGGTTGATTACGTGCCATCGAGGTCGTACAGGGTAACATAAAAAATCGATAGCACACATTTATTTTATTATCAAGTACTTAAATCGAAACAAACCAGATGGAAAATAAATAACCTCTAACAGCCACACAATAATAAGGTATGATTAACTTTTCTTCCATATAATTTACATTGTTGCTTGGCTGGCACTTTTATCACCAAATTTGGTAATCTAACATAACATGATAGAACATGTTTGCGGTAACTATTCTTGTTCGATCACACCGAAACTTGAACCAAAGCCTGGCTCATCGCACCAACCGAACAATAGATCAGGCGTGATTGAGGTCATATGCCGGATAACAAAAAACAATGTGAGAGCACACAAAACACCATTGCATCATTAATTCCAGAACAAAACGATTGCAAAAACTAATTCAATCAGATTAAATTATCGCGCACGGGACTAATCTGCCTAAACCAGCAAAATAACACGCCACGGAGGAACGGCACAACCTCTCTCAACCGAAGCACAAAGCAGACTCACGTTATATTTAATAATAAAAAATACATTAACTAACCATCCGGTATTCAGTGCATAATGGTAAACAAATCTTACATATCCCGAGAATTAGCCGAAAGCAGACATTTAATGTTTGCGCATCACTTATGTAATAAAATTCAAATTCAAGTAACTTACTCTGTTCCGTGGTTCTCTCTGAAAATGGTAAACGAACGTTTAGAGTTCCGTAGCTTTGTATCTAAAATGAAATGGTAGGCCAGCAATAATTTGTTTGCTGAAAATCATTTTCCTAGAACCATGTATCTTGTGACTGGATGGACTAATAATCAATATTGGAAGCTATGATTCATTTTTGATTTCATTCGGTTGTAAGCTGTACACGTATTCGATTCTGTTTATCACTTGAAACGTTATCATCAAATTATCAGTGGAGATGTGTTCACTTATATCAGACAAGAGCATGAATATATTAAGTAGTCTGTTTTTGGAATTCAAATACATCAGATCGGGAAAAAGTTAGACAACTGCAATGTTCCAATTAATTCTGCTGATTCTCGTACTAGCAGGAGTAAATTCTTCTCCTGTTATGATGGAGGATATTGACTGTGCGAATGGTGCAAACGTAGGTGTATTTTATCCCCATCCGTGGTCTTGCCAGGGCTACCTGACGTGTTATTTCGGACAGCTGATTGAAGGACAATGTGGATACGGACTATATTTCGATCTGGAGAGACAAATATGTGAGGCTGCAGCACGCGTTCGCTGTGTCATGCCCGGCAAATTAAGTGGGAGTCCCATTGATGAATAATTGATAAATTATGATGACTCCTTTTTTCAAACACACATATGAATCGATTTTATCAGCAAATGTACTTGAAGAAATCAAAGTTATTATATTGCAGTTACATAATGTTATATTACATAATATAATATGGATTCGACAAAAAGTATACAGCTTTCATAAATAAATAAAGGTATTGTAAGTTTAAAATTTCGTCTTCCTTGGCTTTATTACGTCCCTACTTGAACTTACTCCGTCTTTCAATTTAGTGTTCTTTTGAGCACTTCCACAGTTGAGCTAAGGGGCTGTTCATTTACTACGTAGACAACGTTATGGGTGGGGGGGGGGGTTCGGGCAATTATCTTCGGCCTATACACATTTTGAAAATTTTGTATGGACAATTGTTTGCGCATTGTGGCGTGGGGGGGGGGGGGTCAAGAATAAAAAAAAACTGTCTTCTTAGTTAATGAACAGCTCAATGTTAAAAATATGTTATGTATAAGTCTTCATTTGAACGAGATAATCAAATTTATAATATGCAGGCTCAAAGGATGTTTTACAGGACCATGCTTACAATGAGCTTGATTGGAACATAGACGGTCTGCAACGAGACATGTTTTGCACAATAATGCATTTTAGAGTTTCATGAATTTCGTTAACCCTCTGTTTGCATACGGTGTCTCTGCTGCTTTGGTTAGCTCCTCTGTCATGAGCCTTTCATGTGTCGTCTCGTAGAGCTAAATTACACTTACCTACTCTCCTCGGTGAGGTGAGCCAAAAGTGGAATGACAATAAAGGAAGTTGGGAAACCCATCACATTCCTCGAGGGTGGGTAACAGAGTCATTAAAAATTCAGAATACTAATGAACTTAGGGGGTTTTGTTTTTCCGTTGTGCGAATGTTTTAATTATGTTTCCTGATGTTGTGTACTGCAAGTGAACTTTAACATATTTTAAGTGGAGGAGCATGTAGGGTATTTTTTTAGGGTTAGTCTCTTCAGCAAATTTAATTGTTGCATGAATTTAGCATTTACAATAAATGTTTGAATTAGCTATAAGTTAGTAATGATAAAACGTTACTGTTTCCTCATCGTTTCCAATTTATCGGAGATGAAATAACCGGTGGCTGAAAATGTCCTTAATAAAGATTTAAAAAAAAGTCGGGTTTCGACTCGAATTGCACGAAAATCGATGAATACTTTACTCAGTTTAGGAGTAGACTCACTCAATTCGATTCAATTCTAAGTTACTCTCATCGGCCGTGTAGTTGTCCAGTTACTCAAGGACAAGGTTGATAGAATCCTCAAATGACCTTGTAAAATCAGTCATGATAGTGACCATTTGTGGGTTTTATCAATCTTGAGTGTTCCTTCCTGCAACATTCTATCCGGAGCAATTATAGCTCATACAGGTTTTGGATAGTAGTTGTATCAAAAGACATAAAGATGTATGCAACATCGGGGCACAATCTTGGAAGGAGACGAACCAGCCCAGGGCTGAAAGTCTCCTTAATAAAGATATAAAAAAAATCTTTGTCCAAACTACCTGGCATAACCTTGAATAACTAAGAAAAATATAACTTGTTCTTCTGGACTCTTAACGCTTCCATATACTAACACTAAGACCAGGGAGTCCCGAAGAAACATGCTCAATCTTTTGGCTCAGGAAGTACCATACCTTCGGTCCCAAGCTAACTGAAGCCCCTTTCGATAAGAAAATTAACGAACCACTCATTTACTTTGTCAAATTATAAAGGTGAATCAAAACAAACACAAACTTTGACATATTCTAGTACGAGAATGGGGTACACTCATAGATGTACTTGAGACCAATGGGCTAGTCAAGTAGTGAGTTCGTTACTTTAGAATTGATTGTTGTATCCACAGAGAGCTTTCTTTGCCAAAACTAATGCATAAAATAGGGTTCTTTAATTTTGAAAAATATATCGATTCATCTGAAATGGCTCCGTTTTCTGAGCACAACGATATTTTTTTCGATCTCATTTACTTCCATCTCGATTTTAAATCAATATTTAAAGCAAAATAACTACTTCACTATTTGACACAAAACTAACAAATTGACAGCGAAGGATGCTAAGATGGCGATTTTTGCTAATGTAATCGCACTTATTTAAAATAGTTCCAGTGCTCCAAAATTAATGAAATCTTAGATTTCGGTTCAACTTGACATGTAGATTACGAATATGAAATTACCTAAATACCCCTAAAGAAGCCAATTGTATATTGTGTGACAATGCTATTCGTATGCGTTCTTGAAAGTCGAAAAAAATAATTCCTCAACAGGGAATTGAACTCGCCGCCTCCGGCTCACCGTGCTTTTACTGATTAGGCTATCTGAGGTCTAAAAAAAAGATAATTAAACTAAGGTGCTCAGCTAATCTTTTGATGTATGAAATGATTCATGCATAAATTCAAATTTTAATATTCGAATTTTTCAAAACTCAAAACATATACTAACGTTGTTTTATTTATAACTTTACATTACAGATAGTGCCGAATGCAAAGACGTAGCGTGTCCCAAACCAGAAATTTGCCCAGATGATAGCAGTTTGAAGCTAGTCACAAAACATCATTCTCATCATTATCATCAACTTAACAGTAATGTTAAAGATACCATCCGAAGGAAGCGTGCTCTCGTCTATGGAGGACGGCAACGAGAAACGATAAAAATAATTCCTGGAGCTTATGATCATCACAGCCGTAAACGTAGTATTACCGATGATGAAATGCTTCTTCTACACTGTTGTCCACAATACGAATGCGTTTGCAAGCCCAATTATTGTGACCAGGAATGTCCAGTAAACAAAATACCTGCAAATACAACCAATCCCACCGAGCAATTTGGAGTCCCTGGTAATTGCTGCGTTCCCTGTAAAGATAGCTATTGCATGCATGATGGTAAATTTCGCAAACATGGCGAAAAATGGCTTGCTGACGAATGCACAGAATGTCTATGTGAATTCGGTAGAGCAAAATGTCTACTAGCGATGTGTAAGATGCCAAACTGTCTAAAATACAAACAAATTCCTGGCGAGTGCTGTCCTGTTTGTGATGACGATGAATCAAACTTTTGTAGAGATGTCCGATACTGTAACATCATTTGTAAATACGGCTACCAACGACAGGCCAATTGTGATCTCTGCCAGTGTGCCAGGGCACCACCAAATGGAACAACAGTGCCGTATCCAGAAGTCAAATCTACTACTGACACCTCTACCAACGAAAACATCATTCGGAAAGGTACTCATCCAAGAAATTCATACGGTGGCATAGAAATTAAATTTTGGATTTCTTTACTGTCGTGTATAGTTCTTCTGTCGTTTATTATAGTGTTAACTGTGCGGTATTGTCATTTTCGAAAAAGCGCCAAGTACATTACTGTACAAATAGCGTAGTAATGTCAATATCGTATATAGATTTACTGAGCACCGTAAAGATAGCTGGTGATGTATGAAACTATCATTTGACAAACATGTACACCGACCTTTAAACTATTTGAACTATTATGTACGTTGTGTTTTACTACAATTGTTATCATTATAGCTATTGTTAGTCAGATAATTCAATATTAAAATTTTTAAACTTTTTAAAGTCTGAATAGCATGCAATGTAATGAAAGCGAAAGTCTTCCGTAATTAACGAAAAGTACGTGACTCCGAAGCCTAACGGAGCATCTATACTTAAAATCTATTATTACATGAAAATACACCCACGATTATTACAAAACAAAAGTTTTAGTTTGAAAACGTTGTGATAAATTGTATATAAATTTTGTTTTCCGTGCAGTTACGAGGATTTTATTTTATCAATCGAATTTTACCAAATTTGGTAGATAGTTGAGTTAGGCACTGCTAGTTTTAATTGTAGAATATTGTCTTTGGCGTAAACATATTACGATAAGGATTACACTGTTCATGTTAGACTGTTTTTGTGAAGAAAAAGAATTTATTTAACATAGTTAATTTCCTGATGAACAAATTTTGAACAATTAGAGGCATCCGTTGCTTTTGTTATGAAATTACCGCCGATAGCCGTATGTCATTTTAAAATAATTATTGTTTTCTTTATTACGATTATTATAGCCACGAAGTAGTGTACATGAAAATTGAAAGTATTATTTATTTTATATTATTGTTGAAATTTTTTCTTATTGGTTAAGATAATTATACGAGAGATCAAGACGGCTACGTACGATGATGATATGGTGATACACAATATAAAGAAAAACGAAAAAAATATGCTTCCACAGATTGAATATTCCTTGGCGAATTCTGAATAAACCACAACATCCGTGTTGTCATCAAAACAATAGAAGAATATTGGTTCAGTTTTACAGCTGACCTACCCACAAAATAGCAAATATCTCATCGCAACATCTTCTTTCTACATTGTTCCATCAAAATTTAAGATTGAATCAATAGTCTATTTAATCCGAATACTAATATCTGTAATAATAGCTGAGTGTAATTTTTAATATTAAGTGAGTGATAAATAAATGAAATATCTCCTATTCGCCTCGCTTAAATTATAAATCAAAAGACTCTGAAAATAACTGCGAAAAATACTGTGCAAGTCTCTCAGATATGTATGGATAATTAAACTGTTCTAGCAGCATCATTAATAACAGAAAAAAAAAAATCAAATTATTGTGATGTAAATGTTTTGAATGATTTTGTTCTCCAAAATTCCTTTCTTGATGAAATTAAGTCTCGATATCGACAGTTCAAACAGGTGAATAAAAAAAATGTTATAATCCATATCATAACGGGTTCTTTATTTCACTATCTATAAATGGTATTCAAGCAAAATGTTGGGAATCATCATCATTTATAAATAATGGAAGCTCCCTGGAGTACCACATTTGTTATGCAACAGCAGTATATGTACATTTGAAAATACTTATGGTATGATACGATGGCTATATCAGTCATGACAGGATTTGAAAAGCTCAGCAATATCACGAAAAGGAACTTTGAGTTGTTAATAAAAGATTAAGATAAATGATGTAACCTTTGTTTTATTTTATTAATACGATTTGCCCTGATAATTTCTCAAAAAAAAATCAATTGACTTTTTCAATAATTCAGCCTTCTCCGACAACGTGACTGCATTTTCTACATATTTTATAATTTCTGTGCGTTGTTCCTGTGCTCTACAAACAATTCAGTGAGCGTACTTTCATCTCCCAAATATATTAACCGTCATAAAAACAGCTACTCCTTTATACATGTTGCATTTTTATGCAACGCTACCTTCCCTCTTCTTCCAGCAGAAACAGCTTACGTACACAACATTTTAAATTGGTATTGTACGCTCACTGCACGTACGAACGGATCGTACGGGTAGCCAGCAGAATCGTAATAGAATACATGTGTAGTTATGTATACCGACTCCACTGCTCTGTGGCGTCTACTGAAATGCATAATTTACTGCTGTTTCCGAGTTGAAGCTTTTCCGACGAAAAAGCGATGCTTTAAGCTATTAAACTTCAACAGTTAACAGTTTTCCCTGAACATGCACTTCTAGATTCAGTCTTTCTCCTTCAAAGAGTCTTATTTTTCATGAATTTATACTTAACTTAGTAATAGACACTGTGACCTGACTGTTCACTATTCCGAATAATAAGCTAACATTATACTTGTCATATTTTATTTGCAACTTAAATTGAACTACACAGTTCAAGTTTGTAAATTTCCGCTTGTTTGATTGTAACAAATGGGCTACATGATTAATAACGTATATTTACATATAGTTTGAAATTTACACGATTTCGTTTTCTTCATTATGTAATTTTAAACGTGCTGTTAAATTAAAACCACATGTTATTTTCGTACAGCTCTACGGCCATAATTGAGGTTGTGTTATCTTCTTTGGTTTGTTTCTTTCAGAAGATAATAAACGAATAAAAAGTTCAACAGTTTTTCCGAACATACATAATTGGATTTAATAATAATTACATAATAAAACATACATAAGACTCTGATTTTTTAATGGTGCAAACTGAACTCAAATATAAAATATCAAAAACATGTTTTGCATTAAAAACTATATTAATTCTCTTCGAGCGACGGTCCATGGTTCGACAGTGAGGCAATTACTTTCTTAACAATTCGCTGTTGCTTTCCAATCCAGGTAGCACTTGATGTCGATTTTTTGCGGTGCTTTTCAGGTACATAAAGCTGTGCACATACTGAACACACATGAGATCTTCTATGGCTCAAAGAAAATCTGAAGTACCTTCAGTAAGGCGAGTATGATCAGCCAATACAGACTCCATTTCCAATATCACATGTTTTTTTTAACTTTTTACATAAATTATGTTGACACTTTTTTTTTCCTCTGTTCGCGACCTAACACTACTGCGACCAGTAAATTGATCTATTGTAGTATATCACGTGTCCTTAGTTTAGTGCATGTCGTATTACTCCATCACTATTGAGAAAAGATGAAGTGTTATTCGATTTTTTTACAGTTGCCACTCTTGCATTTATCGCAAGGATCCGACTCTAATTGAAAGGTTCCGCTATTTATACCCTTCGGAGTGTTGAAACACCCTCCAAAGGCGCGCCCCTTTGTCAGTCAAAATTGGATTCCTTAGCAACAAAATTAAGGTATGACACCGATAATGACCATGCATCAGAACCCTAGTCTTAACAACTTCAAACTAGGGAACAACGAATAGACGATTAGGAATCACATAGATGAAGACAACTAACTCATTGTTTTCCTTGTTTCAAGATCATCCTCGGTAGACAAAGCCGAGTCTTGTCACTATCAACAAGGCATAAAAAGTAATAAAGACTAAGATGTGTTCCTTGGATTACTGAAAAATCCTGTTCCCCTAGTTTGAAGCAGCAAGGACTAGGAATCGGTGGTAGATCTTACATCCCGTACCACGAAAAGGTGATCTACCCACGTTACGGGGCATGATATGTTGACACTTACAGCTGTGTTCGATAAAATAGCAGTACATGCCGATTTTCATACAAAATGGTCAACTTTGACATGATGTAACTTTGTTAACTTATGATCAATTGAGCTGAAACGGAAAGTGAGACACCAGGTGAAAATGTTCAAAATAATAGCAGTTTTTTATTTGAAAATTTACGTGCTGCAAATATTTTAAACATTTTTGACTATCATGTACATTTGTTAATTGGGTGGGGATTGTTAGAATTTTGAGAAATTTAAAATTTAAAATCTCAAAATTAAACCGGATAACGGCAGTATAGTACACTGGAGGCGAACCAGCCCAAGGCTGAAAGCCTCCTTAATAAAGCTAAATAATAATAATAATAGTATAGTACACGCAAAAAAAAACCGTTCCGGTATTCGTGACCAAAATATCACGATAACCTGAACTGCTAGTTCATTTTATTCATGACTTAAATCCCAAATCCTTGAACATAGTTCACGCTTGTTCAGAACAACCAACGATTTCGTAACGCTACAGAAAACGCACAATAAAATTATGATTTTGTGATCCATGAACCCATAAGCGTGATTTTCGTTACTGAAATCGTGAACTTGGATCACATGCACAGCTGCCGCTGTCATTTTAAGTTGTTGTCGAATTTATCCTTACAGAGTGCTTGTACAGTGTGTTCCAGTGTGTTGATTATTAGTGAATGCAGCTCTGAGCCTTATCATCAGAATGGTGGTCCGACAGAATGCCAGTGGCTGGGACGGGTGTCATCAAACTGGCCGTAAAGCTCGAAGAAAAGGATCCCGGAACGCATCCAATGTTATTGCTCCCACCGCTCCGATGGAAGTCGAAGGTGGTGTTCATTTGTTGAGCTGAAAATGTGGCCATTCCATCTGCTGGACCCATGCCAGTTTGGGTGTGAGTGAAACCTGCATCAAGTCTTCCATTGTTTTCCTTCCACTTTCTCACTTCATTTAAAATATTGAAAATTATTTTAATGTTGAAATTGTACAGTCCATGAACTATGTTTCCGTTGTCTAGAACAGGTTCCCGACATCAAGCACAACTCATGAACATAAATCACGTTTACCAGAACTAGATCATGATTTTCAGAACAGAGTTCACGATTCTATGACTTTTTTTTGCCTTTGCTGGTGCCCGGTACACCATAACGCAGGAGTTACGTTTATTTTGTGGAACAATGTTCACGATTTCATGATTTTTATGGTGTACTTCCGTAAACAAGAAATAAATTTGTTCCGAAATTCGTGACAAGAGGTTCACGAATTTCGAAGCGGATTTTTTCCCGTGTATTAAATTCTTAAAATATTCATCCTTAGAAGTCTCCTGTGCAATCGAATTCGTCAGAAATATTTAAAAAAAATTATGTACTTCAAGTCTAATTCAGCGTTCAATGGGTTTTATAGAAATCAGATAAAACGAGAAGCTCGTATTGTCTAAAACGTGATGATTTAATTTAATTTAAAATCAAAAGGGCAATTACTCGAACATTTCAACTTGTTGAAGATGAATCAGCTAGTTTACTTGATATTTTTTTACCGCTAGGATAACTGAATATTTCTTGGAGACCCAAGTATTAATGTGTTTTGTTCTTAAAACGATGCGGGCGGAACGCGATAGCACTAATTGCTTTCTACGGTCCTCTCGACATAATGGATGATGATGATCATTATTATCTCCATCGCTACTATCATTACCGCAATTCAGCCTCAAAAGCGTACAGGAATGCGTAGCCACTTTCTTTATCTCTGGTCTGGCTATATAAAGCAGCATGCACATAAAATCCAAGAAGCTTCCCTTACTCTTTGGGAATCACCCCACGTGAAAAACCATGAGTTTACTAACAAGAGAACCCCTCTTTACGGCAGTCGACGGGTATGTTTTGAATTTCTACTTCTTTATATTCAGCTGACTCAGGAGCGAAAGCTACATATACAAAACGAGCCTTTGACTTCCAGCAAGGATATTACATTTTCTGACGTTTAAAACACACACACTTGTGTAATCCCGTTTTCAAGTTACATAGTGCGAATATTGTTATCCTCACTTTCGCTCCAGCTCCAGGTTTGTTCATTGTTATCCTCACTTTCCGATCATCTGCAATCGTGTGCATATAGAAAGGACTATTCAAGAATGATTTTTCAAAAGGACGTATCTGCTTTTATAAACAAAGATTCAAACGTTAATTTGTCGAAACTCTTTGCACTGCCACCCAAACTAACACCACAATCTTTCTGGGAAAACATTATCCATTCTGATGATGGCGTTAGTTTGCGTGGGCGAGTTGAGAGTTTCAACAAATTGACGTTTGAAATTTAATTTTACTAAGACGGATACGTCCTTTTGAAAAATAATCGAAAGCTTATCTGAATGAAAGCAACTTTTATCCTGAAATATTTCAAGCAGTAAAGCTCTTCATAAGATATAACTCATAACTAGGGCTTCGAAGCTTTCGTATTTGGTAAACTTCAATGCGGTAGGCGTAACGGATATTATCCATAAACTGATCGATAAGCACACTGTAACACTTACCTTGCCTCCCTCTCCCTAAACTGTCCATGTTGTTTCCGGAAAGCCCAAAGTTGTAGCTAAGCAATTTTCCTTCGAATACCGCAATCTAGAAAGATTGCTTCGACGAGTTTATCATAACAAAAAAGTAAATTTTAGTGTATAATTTAAATTTTATTTAACTGACGTTCAAAAGCATTCAATATCAGCATTCAAACAAACGATTATTTTCATTACCTCGAAATTAATTTAATTAATTATTAATTAAAAAATTAAATTATAATAATTAAATATATAAAATAATAAAATAAATAAAATAATAAAATAATAGAATAAATAAATTAATAAAATAATATATAATAAAATAAATAAATAATAAAAAATAAATTAATAAATTAAATTAACAACTTAATTTGTATTCAACTAAATGTCAATGAATCTGTATTATGAAAAAAAAATAAAATAAAATGTTTTCAATTTTGAGAAATTAATGATTTTCTTAATATCGAACTGGACTGCAGTGGTATCGACCGGTGAATTCGACCACACTGACCTTCACTGAAAAAAAACTGAACTTTTCTTTTAATTTATTGGAATTCATATTACCACAATTTCGGCGCGTTTCATTTTCAATGAAACGTACAATATTCCAACAGTACAGTTAATATTTAGCCAACAAACTTTTTTTGTCGGCTTTCTGCTGAAGTTATTGCAGGCAGTGAGCAAGTGTCCATTCGTATACCGTTTTATATTTTGACGATCTTTTGAAACACTTTCATACATATTTGAAAGAATTTTAAAAATTTGACGATTGAATTGATTAGTTAATTATCCACTATTTTTTTTTTCTGACATCGGATGATTTCATTGTTTACTTGCATATTTAATGGAAAATTTCAACAAACGAATTAAAAAAAGAACATCTTCGACATCGCTGATTGAATTATTAAAAACATCTAACTCCCAGGAGTTGAATGACATACCGGATACTGGTGAAGATTTTTAGTGAAAATAGTTTAAAAAGTGTTTTGAAGAAATAAAACTAATGAGACGGTGCTTTGTACATATTATGTTTTTATTTTTTAACACCAAAAATATCACTGACCTGAGCATAAGTTTTGTGGAAGCCAACAAACAAGCCGGAAGAATAAATATTAATTTATTCATATTGAGTATATATTCTTCAAAAATCAAAAATAATATAATAATCTGAGACAATACAACGATTTTGACTTTTTTTTTCATGATTATGAAACTCTACGTTGCGATATTTACAATACAATGTTGATGGTAGAGCATTGTCCAAGTTTCCAGGGCATTAGGGAGCTTAATGGGATCCCGACTAACATTAGAAACGCACTGGTCAATGACCCTTCAACCGAAGCAGCTGTTATATGCTTCATCAAGGATGCCTGTATAAGAACATCTGACCTACCAAACCCACAAAAATTAACAATAACCAACCCACGATCGAACCAGGATCAACCTCTACAACGGACTCTGAAAACACCAGCATGACACTTTGCCGACCAAATGCACCAAACCAGGACAGCACCTCGACAGCCAACTCTGATACAAAAATACTCTGTTAGTAGGGATTTTCCTTCCGGATTGTCCACTCATCCTAACTAGGAGGGTCCCTTCTGGATCTCCCACCTCATTCACTCCCCAACAAACATTGAATGTTCAATAAGAGCTTATTCAGGCAAAAATAAGCTTCTTCAGCTAAAAAATGGCTTATTCAGCTGTTAATCAACTCAAATTGTTTGTTGGGTCTACAGCTAGGGGTCCCTTCTGGCTGCCCACCACTATATATAAATTCTGTCACTAGGGGGACCTCCTTCAGGAGTCCCCAATATTCGTCAAGGAATGAATAAGTCTATGGCTGAATGTATCGTATAGTTTATAAACATAAACTAACTCGTTAATGAAGTTGAGGGCGTCGAGATGCTGGGTTTTTGACGTCTGAAGGTGGTTTGAGCTTCTTTTTCTGTCAAAACAGAAGTCTTTCCAAATCATCAAAATTTTATAGTATGGTTTTGTAATAAATGAACGAAAGATACACTTTCAAATAAAATTGGTATCACTATATTTCTTCAATACAACTATGAGTTCTCAGGTTGGCTAGTGAATTTTATTTTTTTTCGATTAGAATCTCAAATATTTCCCGGAAGTAGTTTTTTTTTAAACGACATCAAATGATAATTCTTCAAGTTTTTTGTGGAAAATTTATCTTCAGTAAAACTTCAGGAAGCAATTTTTAAAGCAGAAAATGCAATTCATCTATATTATGTCCTTAACTGTGGAGTGATTGTACAAAAGATGCAAAAAGTAAATGTTATTTCAGAGATACCTACTTAGAAAAATCTATTCGTATTGCTTTTTTAATACCGACGCATCTTATGTTTTCCAGAACTTATTGTGCTACAGAGTCATAAATTTTGTTAAGGTCACTATTCGCTCGAACTGAAAAGGTCATTAGACCAAATTGACGATTGAGGACTGAGATGAAAAGATTTTTAAACATTTCCAAGTTTTCAGATTTTCCCTAAGAATTGGGAAAATTTTCAGGTTTCATACAACATAATAATGTATAGAATTATGACAAGAATGGCTGTGAAATTTTGAGGTGAAATTAAAAAGAATTAAAGTGATAATTTCAAAGAAATGCTGACGAGTTGGTTAAATTTTATTTTAAGGAAACTGGCTACTGAGAATGATATTTTTTAGTTCTAATACTTTTCTCAAACTACGATGCTATATCGCATTTATTTTTTTATAACTTACTAAAGTAAGTTTTAAGCATATTTAAATGTTTACCGGAATCCCGTGATTTTCCGGGATTTCAATTTATAAAATCCCGAAACCCAGGATTTTTTTCAAACCCGGGAAATATGACCCTTTACTACCCTTTACCCCTAACGACATTTCCTTTGGTTTGTTTTTTCCGTCGATCTTGTTTTCCGTTCTGAGCACCAATGCTACCGACGTGCCAGGAAGGCAGCTCCCACACCTGGACCCTACCTATCGACCCATCAACTCATGAACCGGGGACCAACGGCTTTACTTCCCTTCCGAAGGAGGCGTGATCAGAGATGTTATGCCTCAGAACATCCCGGCGGCGCCAACTGGGATTGAACCCAGGCCTGCTGGGGTGAGAGGTAATCACGCTTACCACTACACCACCGGCGCCGTTAAGAACGACATTTCAATGAGATGAACATGAATTGAAACTGGGTGACGGATTTGGGATATAATACCGGTAGTTTATTTATAATAAAATCAAAACGATTTGTTACTAATTAAACAATTAAATAGCACACATAGAATGATTAAAAAGTTTTTTTTTTTCCTTTATTTACAAGGCTTTCAGCCATTGGCTGGTTCGCCATGATTAAAAAGTCTTCTTTGAGAAAAAAAAAAAAAAAAAAAAAAAAAAAAAAAAAATATTTAATTTTTCGAGTTTATCTAATAATCGGGTTATCGAATGTTGAAAACCCCGAGAATTTCTGATAATTCTCTCAACATTTTATTTCATTTGGATGCGTAGTATGAGCCACTGGCCCTTTTAAGTTTCTAGCGCTTCGCTGTAGTGATCTTCGGAAAAGTTCGCTGTTTATGGGAAATTTGATCAGCTACAACTTTGCTGAAGATTAGACTGTAAGGTAGTTAGTTATTAATTAATTTCGAAGCTGATAACGTTCTGATATCATTAATCGACTGCTTTATACTCCGTACAGACTATGGCTTATATTTTGTAATATAGGTTGTCTTGCAATGAGCACTCATACATCTAGTTTTCACTGGAAATCCTTTGTATGAGTGCTCATTGCAAGACAGCCTATATTGCATTATATAAACCATAGTCTGTACGAGGTATTAAGGGCAACACTGCATCTTGCACTTATGACACAGTAGCCTGGATTCTTTTCGCCAAGAACACAAATGATTTGAAATCAATTGAGCTTGGTGGAGCAAAAGCAATATTTTGAACCATCCTAGTATTTATACAGAAGCTCATCCTAGAGCTGGCCAAAACATAGTATGTACAAGCTAAGAGAGCACTCAATTACTAATAACTATAGCAAGGTAGGATTTTACATTAGTAAGAAAACTATTGTTGACTTAAAAGTAGTGTTCGGTGGACCAGAAGATTCAACATAGAGTTATTAAAATTAATATCCAAACACCAAGGCGATTCGTTACTTTTATCTTACACTTTATTTCAATTTTCAGACCTAATGCTACTATTTACAACGGAAATGATTGATTAAAACAATTCGACCGCCTATCACAATGTTCTTTGTATTCTGTTAATAATTTTGCACAGTCTGCAATTATTCCTAAAATGAATGAAGTTGTTGCTCGATAAAAGACCCAATTTTGCGATCTTCCTGCGCGGTTCCACGAAATTATACACTGGGCACAAGCTAATGTCGTATGTTCGATGATGATGAACACTTTCACTGGACCGCGTACATATCATTTGCATGATAAGCATGTCCTCCGTAATTGGCCACGTTAAACAGCCTCTGATAGCTTCCATCCATCTGGGCGGTAGTAACTGGAAGGACTGGCATCATCATATCCCTAGAACGATGCGTACAGAAAGAGAAAGAAATATTAATGTTAACAAAGCATTTAGTAATCTTCAGAAGATGCGGTGCTTCTGACTATAAAGTCATTCATCCCGAATATCAAGGAAAAGAAAAATCGAGAAGTGGCCGTTGAATTGATGATTATTAGCCACAACAAAGCGTGCTCTCAGCTTCATCCATCGTTTTAGCTTTACGACTGCAAACAATATTTGTGGTTATAGTATGAGACATAATATGTATTACATTTCCGAATGGGTTCCAAACATGCACAACAAATCAATGAAGTAAATGTATGGATGAAACCACCTCAAGGATGCATATGGGAAAGCATAGACCGTTATCGTTAAATTATTGGAATATAGCACGTGTATCCACTATTCTTCAAATAAGGACATGTGCAGTGTTACACAATGTTTCACAGTTGGGTGTGATTTTTACAATAAGGAAACAGGCAAGTCCGATTTACATACAAAAAAAAACTAATTATAAACACATGTGGCAAGCAATGCTACTCACGGCCTAGCTTGTGGTGTCCTGTCCCGTTGTCTCCTATTTTTGAACCAGTTAGACACTTGAGTCAGCGTGAGTCCAGTTTTCTTGGCAAGTGTTTTTTTCTCATCTGGTGTTGGGTATCTATTTCTTGTGTAGCAATCCTTCAGGGCATTACGGCTTTTCTCCTTAAAACAGTAAACGGTCTCCTCTCCATCCCAAATCGTTTTCGGTAGAGGGTATTTCTTGCGCAATCTGTACTTATCTACTGCACCGAGCGGTCTACCTCTCACTTTCTCTGCTTCACGATAGTGCGCTTTGAACCATAAATTTTGAAGGTCCGGATGATATTTAGGAGAATAGAAGTGTGACTCCAATAGGGCATACAACTCGTGAAAAGCACCACGATGATATGCAACTAAACACCTAGCTCTAAGCAAACTTTCGTTGCTACTGATTAGATCATTCTGAGGAATACTCCACAGGAATGTTGCTAATTTCTCTACATCACCTTGTTGCTGCAATGCTTCACACATGCACTGGATTTGTTCTGGGCTAAAGCTCAATATTTTCCTATCCACCTCATTGTTATTTAATTGAGGTGGGATATTTTGAAGAAATGAACCATTGTTAGTACCGTCTCGTGCATTTGTTGGCTGCAGTTCATTCACTACCTTACCTATCGAATGATACAATCGTAAGCATTTGTTTCATTTGAGCTAACATTCTGTACTTACCTGTGTAATAAACCACCTCAGATTGTGACTGAACTTTAATAGGATATACATTTTCGTTATACTTTCTCTCGTAGTCTTTATCTGTGAATTCCTGCAGCTTCTCTGAGAAGAATAACGTTTTCATTGAGTTGGTAGCGTCCCGATAGCCTGTTGATGAAATAGGTACAATCGCATTAAACATATTAGATGTTGACTACGAGCGTAACTAAACCTATATTTGAAAATATAAGGCGAATATATGCCACATGCTAATAAAACCTATCATTCACTTTCACGTAAATCAACAATATTTGAAATGCGAGGTATGAAATGTGGGGCGAGTCCGGCGTAGGTACTAATATCCATGCCTGTCACACCAAAGGTCTCGAGTTCAAATCTCATCCCCAGACAAGTTACGAATGATAAAACAAAAGTTATTAAATGTTACTCGGGAAAATTAGTTGTGCAACTAAAATAGAGTATTGGGAGCTCCTCTAGCCGTGGGCACGTTAAATTTGTGTCTCAATTGCAGGCCACAAGGTTCAGGAGTTTGATGAAAATTCGTTGAATTTGGTCAGTACCTGGTCATAAAGCTTTCGGGCAGGGATCGTGGACATATAGTTCAGATACACACTTAAAAATAACTATTTTTTCATGTGACAGAATCCATATTTGACATAAAAGATGAGTCGTAAACAAACATGTCATGTATAATTAAGTACTCCGAGACTGAAAAGTTCGTTACTCGACGAAAAGTACGTTTCATTGAGCTGAATTTCACGTTTATGTCTCAATTTTATGTCAAAATTGACGATCTTATATGTCAGACTCAGAGCACCTAAATTTACATGATTTTTTCTAAGTGTGTATGCAATCATGCAATCTAGCTGGACAAACTCCTTGGATGACGTCGTAGCTATTTGATGTCTTCGGCAGAGTTGATCAAGCCTACATTGTGAATGAAACATTTTAGCTCAATAAATTAATGTTTAACCAGTTGTGTTATATGTTTATCTTTCGAACGAGGGGGCGACCCCGGCGTAGTGGTTAACATTCATAACATGAGGCAAATTTACTCATCGCTGAGTTCCTGCACTTTTGGCGATTATGAGTGAACTAAACTCAAATTTGAGTCGTTCTCATTCGCCGTGTATGTACCCAAGTAACCTTAAGCATTAGTACAAAGCCTTATATCTGCTTTACTTCAAAATTACTAGTGCTTATAAGCCCATTGTTATATAGCATTGGTAATGCTAAGAAACCTTTAATCATCCATGCTAATGCTATAAGTCTTTATTCAGCACTGCTAATGCTAAATGCGCTTAATCAACATTATATAAGCATTAGCAATGCTTGTTAATATTTTGACAGGAAAACCACGTTGTCAGTATTTGTGTGTTGTAGTGAGTTGAATCGTCCCAAACATTTTCCCAAGCACCAACATTAGAGTTTGACAAAGATGATTGAGTAAATGGCTGTCGGATGTCTCTTCACACGCGATTTCTTTTACCATTTCGTATTTTCTCAGGCTCGTAACTCTCGAGCTACGTAATGTACGAAGTTTAAAATAATACCAAATGTTTGCTGCAGGGAAGTGAGCATATCAGTATTTTTATTAGAATTGGACAACTTCTGTATTGTAAGATTAGAACCCTGGAAATCCTGAAGTGAATAACTTCCACCAATCATGTGCTTAAATATGCCAATTTTCAAAACAATTATGATCATCATCTATAGCCTAGGGTATACAGTAGACTGATGCAAAATTTGACTTTTTCGCTTCACAGTGCTTAAATGGTTTCAAATCGGGTCCTGATTAGCCTCCCAAAGTTACAACTCATTTGGTTAGAAACAGACTTCGCACAAGCCATTTGAAGTTTACATGTAAATTACTATAAGAAATCTCAACTTTTTGTTCATTGCCTTCTAGTCTTTTACCATATTGAGCTGCGAAACAGTTCGATAGCCATTATTAAAGAAAATTTTCTCAGCTACAACTTTGCTGAAGATCGTTTCTACTTAAAACGAGACAGGAAAAAGTTATTAATTATTTAAGAGATTGGTAAACTTATGACATGATCAAGCAGCTGCTCTGTAGGCAACACTGTATTTTGCAGTGTGACATAGTAGCCATGATATTTGTGTCCTATTCAACGCCCCAGAAACACCAATGTTGCCTGCTGAGCAGTTGGTTGAGCATGATCATTAGACATCAGCGCATTGAACCATTGATAAATTTCGATCCTTGCATTTAATCAAAAAGTGGTCTTCGGCAAAGTTGTAGCTGGGAAAATTTCCTACAACTACAGTTGAAAGTTTTTGAAGCAGACCGATGTGGTGAATTATTAGATAGACATGAACAAAAATCTCCAGTCGGCGCCGCCGGGATGTTCTGAGGCATAACATCTCTGATCACGCCTTCCTTCGGATGGGAAGTAAAGCCGTTGGTCCCCGGTTCATGAGTTGATGGGTCGATAGGTAGGGTCCAAGTGTGGGAGCTGCCTTCTTGGCACGTCGGTAGCATTGGTGCTCAGCACGGAAAACAAGATCGACGGAAAAAACAAACCAAAGGAAAAAAAAAAAAAAAAATGAACAAAAATCTGGGTTTTACCATGGTAATTCCCATACAAACTTCAAATGGTTTGTGCCATCTCAGTTTCTCACCAAAGGGGTTCAAATTGTGAGAGGTTAGTCAGGATCCGATTTGGAATCGTTTAAGTATTGTGGAGCGAAAAAGTCAAATTTTGCATCAGTCTAGTATACAGGCACATGATTGTTGTTCCATAAGGTCCCGGTTCGAGTCTCACTAACAGTAATTTTCAGTATATGAATCACAAATATGAAACACAAATATTGAAAATGGATACAAAAGGTACTTGGGTATAATAAAGAAATCATGAATTATCATATTTAATTCGTTTTGTTTCTGGTCTGTGAATGACGGGTGGCATTTGATTACTCAAACAGCTCAAACTTTTACAATAAAAAAGAAAAAAATTACCAGAGAATGGATTCGAAAATATTTGACGTTTCTCATACCATCCCTAAGTAAGCATTACAAGTGCTTGTGCCGGGCTACCATGGTAGCACTACAAAGGCTCGCTATTTCGCCTTTTTAGCATTATAGCAGCCCTATATTAGCAGATAGTGCATCATTAGCATTAAATCACAGCTTTATATGCGGCTATAGAGCAGAGTTAGGACTACGTTCAAGCGCTTACCGGTTATTTGGGTCACACAAAAATATTATAAAACGAATATAGATTAAAATTTATGCATTTTATGGATTTTCAAAATTTATACATCGGTTCGATTAAAATTTTCGTCAAAATTATACTAAGTCCGAATAACGGAGTGGAATTCGATCAGTGTTTACTAAAATGATAGCAAAAAGATCATCTGGATTCTCTTCGGAGCTTCGTGCTGGTGAAGAGCTTCGTCCCGGCGGATTTATACAGCGCATGGGATCAGCTGGGCAGCTAGACTGCGTAAGCACGAGTTCATTCTAATGAACATCGAAAAGGTATGTATTTTTTAATAATATTCATAAAAATAAATTAATTAAAAAACCTTCCTGAGACAATTTTAATTTTGATTTGAAAACAATAATATTTACCATAAATAAAATAAAGAAGCGAAAAATACATTCTCTCGAATAAACCGTATCTATGCATTGTAAGTATATTTCAATTTTATACTACGGAACGCATAAACCATTTTTATACTAAGTTTGCATTCTCTCCCTTTATACCGACCTTTGCGTCGGTACGGAGAGTTACGATTTAGCGTAGCTTTTATACTATTTAGATTTCAATATTTTTTGAGTGGTAGTTGGTCTTATGGAATGTATAATGATGATGTTTCGGTGAAAATGTATAAGAGAAATAAGAAAACAGATGAATAAAATAATTAATTTTTGTTTCGTGTATATTTCTTTTTTTTTATATATCTTTATTAAGGAGACTTTCAGCCTTGTGTATATTTGAAATAACAACAAATATTTCTAAATATCAACCTAAACATTGAAAAAAAAACTAATACCTGTAAAGGATAGAGCTTTTTGTGATGAACAGTCTTAACACTCCAAACACGATGCTTACGGTAAAATGTGTAACGGTAAAACTAGCAATGTTTGAAAAATCAAGCACAGCCATTTACTGACAAATTTTTAATTTATTACCGTCATTTGAAACTACAAACTTTAAAAATTCATTCCTGGGGGCGACCCCATAGTAGTGTTTAACATCCATACCTCTCACGCCAAAGTCATGAGTTCAAATCTCACCCCCGGAAAAGTCACGGATGACCCAAGAGTGTTAAAAAAACTATAATAAAATAAAAACAAATAAAAAATCATTCAGTAGGGTAAACGCTCCTATAGTTGCCATACGTTAGAAGCGTTAGGTTCCTATAGTTGTGTATTGAGTCTCCATACACAACTATAGGAACCTAACGCTTCTAACGTACCGCTACTATAGGAGCGTTTACCCTATCAGTGGATTTAAAATCTATTGATAAATTGCTGAGCAGTGATTTTTCAAGCATTGCTAATTGTCATTTACCGTTCTACATTTTACGGGAGGCATCGTGTTCGGAGTTTTAATAGGCTATAATCTCGGTTGAGCTCTCCATATAATACCCAATACTAACAGACGACTCGAACTATGGTGTTCAGTTGGTCACTCTAGCCTTTCAGCTCGTATTGCGTTCACACAATCAAGGAACATGTATATTAGGATGGGTCATCATGATCATTTTTTCAGAACAATGTTTTTTTTTATTCCATTTGGGGTCTTAAACAACTGTGCAAAATTTGGGGACGGTTGGTTGTAACCCAGCTTTCCGCATTGCATTTGAAATTTGTATGGAAATTAGTATGGGAAAACCTACTTTTTTGCATCTTTATTACTAGAGACCACAATTTTGCACAAACCATGCATCTAAATACGTTAAAGTATAACCAAGGAAGTGCCTAACAACTTTTCTTCAAAATGTTTTGCACTACACTCAAAAATATTACAAAACAAATATAGATTAAATTTTATGCATTTTATGGTTTTTCAAAATTTATACATTGGTTCGATTAAAATTTTCGTCGAAATTATAGTAAGTCCGAATAACGGAGTGGAATTCGATCAGTGTTTACTAAAATGACATTTGGATTCTCTTCGCAGCTTCGCGCTTGTGAAGAGCTTTGTTCCGGCGGATTTCAACTGCGCCTGTGATCTGCTGGGCAGCTAGACTGCGTGAGCTCGTGAGCACGAGTTCATCTTAATGAACATCGAAATGGTAAGTATTTTTTAAATAATATTCATAAAAAATAAAATAATTAAAAAACCTTCCTGAGAAAATTTTTATTTCTATTTGAAAACAATAATATTTACCATAAATAAAATAAAGAAGCGAAAAATACATTCTCTCGATTAAACCGTATCTATACATTGTAAGTATATTTCGATTTTATACTATGGCACGCATAAACCATTTTTATACTAAGTTTGCATTCTCTCCATTCATACCGACCTTTGCGTCGGTACGGAGAGTTGCGATTTAGCGTAACTTTTATACTATTTAGATTTCAATATTTTTTGAGTGTAGAATGTCCCTAAAAAAAGTTATAGCTGTTCAAAGATCAATGTTTCGATTAAATTCCAAAAATCCCTTTTTCTGCCAACACTGCCGGTCTCCAGACCGTCAGTCAGACTCCAAATTCGAAGTTAATTATTTTATCGTTTTGGTATGTTCAGATGAAATATTCAAAAACAATAGATCTATCTCATATACGTAGTGGGAGGGGGGATGGGGGAGGGGGGGTTCACTTATATCAATAGACGTAAAGTTTCAAACTGAAATAACTTCGGAGTTTATTATCTTATCGATTTGGTATGTTCAGATGAATTATTCAAAAACAATTTTACAATTTCATAGGCATATTAAAAGATGAAGAGGGGGGTTAACTATACCTCCGCCCCCTCACTCATATAAATGGAGGTAAGGCTTCAAACTGCAATAACTTCAGTGTTTCTGCCCATCTGTTTTGAAAAGGAATCAGCACTGTTAGAAGTGACGTTTGGTTTGGGAGCCCAACTGAAACTTAGCCCACTTAAACAACAAGCGAAATCCGACTGTACCTGTGTCTGAGACGAAACTGGTGAAGACAGTTTTCGTTTTCTCTTGTTTTTGGTTCTTGACGTACGACTACTTCTGTGTTTTCTATATGCGGGTGGCCCGAATGGCAGTTTAATATTTCAAATAAATGCTTTGTATAGAAATTTAAAATTTCCCAGCTGCTAATAATTCAAACATTTCCTCACTAAAAAATGCACCGACAAGTGGATATTAAATATTTACACTACAACAATTTTCGTTTTAAAATCTGCGTACAGTAGGCTAGAATCATATCCTTGCTGAGATCCAAAGACCACGTTGGGCATCGCGTTGGACCCTTATGCTCCACGCTGCTCATTCGATGCGTATTGAGTTACCCAACAACTGTGAAAAATTTGAGCGAATTCGGTTATGATTTGGATGTGCGGGAGAATTTTAAATTTTGTATGGGAAAATGTCTGGAAAATGACACGGAACTATTCATTTGCTTGCCAAAGAATCAAAAATTGCTCAATTTTAACCAATACTTGGATTTAAATTGCAAATACTATGTAGAACATCTTTGCCACTTATCGTTATAACTACTGAGAAAAAAGTTATTACTGTCAACTCTCCACAACTCGATGTCCACTAACTCGATATCGAGTTATAGAACCATAGTTAAAATGAGTTTCATGCCTATGTATTATTTTACTATAGGCCTATGCTCAGCACCTACCTACAGGCGTATTCCAACATCAAATCAAACTAAACAAAAATAGAAAAAAACATCAATAATTCAATGATTACAATCCGGAGATGAACCAGATGAACTGGCTGAAAATCTCCTTTAAAAAAAGACAACCAACCAATGATTACAATTGATTCTTCTTTTCTGAAAAATCCCCTTGGGATCAAGTATGTCCAGTCTTCCATGAACCTCAGCCACTGTCCGTTTTAATATTTGGTTGCTGACCTCGGCCTCCGAAAATCTCGATTCCAGTTGACGAAAACCGAGTATCTACAGCCGTCAAACCCGTAGACGGTAGTCCACCGCCATACACAAGTCACCCGTCTTCACGCACTGTTCTGAACTTCCGCTGATCAGATGTCCCAATCCGATCGTCCGAAGGCTCACTGTGAGTTATCTTCAGTCTGTACCATCAACGCTCACAACCTCACATCACCTCTAGCTAGTAGCTACTCCCGGCGGTTTCATATCACGCTCAGTGTACTACAACGGCTCAGCTTCCTACCTTCTGTTCGGCTCTGACGGCTGCAAGCTTCTCCCGACGATGTCGTTGGGAACGGCCGAGGGTTAGTGTTTCTGTTAGGTTTAACCACGTCTATACGTCAGGTTTAACCAGCGGCTGTACTCGCTTTTCGGGAGAGTATTTCTTGATTAGGATGTGATGAAAGAAGTTCACATAACGGATGATGATCCTATGGAAATAGCGTAATAGCGCTAATAATCAACAATGGTTATTTCCCATCTTCTAGCACCAAAGGCAAACATGTTTCTGTTAAATTATCAACCAACGGTAGCTTTGGATACAAAACAAATCTTTGTATTTAGGAAAATCCTTCTAAAAAGATCCTCCATTTATTTATTGCTAAAAACCGCGTACGAAAGCATTACCAACGTAAAGTGTTAAGCGAATTTCCTAGGGCTGTAAGGCAGAGTGAATGCGAGTTGCCGAGCTGACCAGCAAAAGGAATAATAATTATTAATAAGATCTTTTGTCTGCTCGGTCACTCGCAATCACTCTGCCAGGCGCCTAAAGCTTTGAAGCTGATCAATGCTACGGTTGGCTTTGTAAGAATATCGAGTTTGTTTAACATTTACCTGAGACTACGTCGTAACAATCGATGGTGAAAAGCACAACAGTATGAGTAATAATAAATAATAAATAATAAATGTTTCAACAGAGCCAATCATAAGGTTGCTAATGAAATAGGTGAATGGAGCTTTCATTGTTAACAAAAACAATATGATTAATATGGTTTCAGAGTATTTGTCAGGATACATAAAAGATTGAATCATAATTAAACCCAACAAATATGCACTTCAAATGGCCACATCTAAATCACAGTTATGCCCAGAAAGAATCATTTAAACCGCACATTTCGTTCATTTGAGAAATTCCTTTAACACCATATTTTTGACAACTAATCAAATCATGTTCTCCGGTAGCTACACAAGAGGCGCATATTTTCTCGTATGCTGACGCTTGTTGTATTGACGGATGTTTTATTTAGACTAAACACGATCTCCAATTTCAAGCGACAAAAAATCTTTCGTCACTTCAAATGAATTTCTGACACTGCAGCATTTGTTACTAACCATTCTGTGACAAATATAAACTTTGATTTGTTCCAAAGTTATTCAAAGATTGGGTCACACCATCCGATCCTGTAGAATTGGAATCCAAATCAGCCAACGGAGATAATCCTGAGGTATCCATTGGAATTTGTAGAAATATCGTAATCCTATATTTTCACAACACTTTATCCGATAATTATAATACAAAGGACACTGATTTTTTTTCTTATTCACTCGGGTTACACATGTCCACTTTGCCGAAACCGATTATTTTACATCTGCTACGTTCGAGTTCCAGGCTCAAACTAAACTGATCCAAACGACGCCTTCATTCATAAACATACAAACAGTTTCTTTTGCTCTCCCGAATTCTCCCTTGCCTTCTCAAATTAACTGAACGCACCTCTTTTCCCACTTCTGCTTAACTGAATATCGTTGTCAACGAAACCATGTCGATTTTACAATTGTATATGTAGCTACCTATGCAATGTGCAGAAAATAAATTCCTTCAAGTAAACAAGTAAACAAATTTGAAAATGGAGAGCATTGGATGATAATAAATTTGAATAGTTACAGGATCAGCTAACTGAAAGGAGGGATACGAACTTACAAAATCGTAACATTGAGTGATTATGCTGCGCATTGCACATTCGTATGCTGTTGTCAAGGGCAACGGGATACAGCACATGACGAAGGGTTGATACGCTCCGCCTACTGTTTACTTTTCCTGCAGAGAAATGTGCTTACAAGCGCATTTAACTAGGTATTGCAAAACATTGGGGTTATGTTGTTGGAAGAATGAAATCAATGAATGAATGATTTACTGTTTCCATGACATAAACATGAAGAACATTGGTTTTGAAATTCCTAAATTAGTATAATACAGTAGAGCTCAAAACTTCACCGGTCAAACATAATAACTAGTTATAGAAAATTTAACTGTTTTGGAAAAATTAGGTTTTCTCCAAGAGAAGAACAATTAATTATTCTTTATTAGAAAACCTTTCAACCATCTGCCTACAGAAATCATTGCATAATATATTGTATTGTTAACAACGTGTGCTCTAGGAGCGTTAACAACGTGTGCGCTAGATATCGCAGAGAATTGTATGAATTTTCCAAACGGTGTACAGTGTCAAAATATTTTTATTTGTAATTATTATAGGTAGGGTAGTATCCCATAAAAGCATAACTGTCCCATCTTTGCTTGATTTCCTATCCATATGAGACAGTTATGCTTTTATTGGCAGTATAAAAAATGGGGACCTCCCTTAGGCTAATCTTAAATCGATTCTGGAGATGATTCGATTTCGGGGTTGGTCGATAATATTTTCGGTATGGAAATTTCCTCGATATGCTTAGGCTTAGAACATCATTGCGGCTATCTCACAATATTTAGATGGAAAAACTGTATACAAAATCATTGTATACAAAGAAAAAAGACGATATCAAAGGAAGGATGACTGACCTGAGTAAAATTCAATGTTCTTATAAAAGTGGTTATATCTGATATTTCAGAGTGATGATTTGAAGAACAGAAAAACACCTATGGCACATTTCGTTAAATTATTTACAATCCTATTTATTTTAGATTTGAGTGTACCTATTAAACCTAAATGAAGCCGAAATTCTCGATTCAATGACCTATAAGAAAGTTGACCCAAAACTGAATCTGAATTTTTGCATGTTAGAAATATATGTTAAAAAATTACCTCGAACATTGTTAAAGTAAACAGTATGTCAATATTTTGCTACAGTATAACTTACTATACCTGCACAGGAAAAAGTCCTGATTTTTAACCAACGCGTGAAATCTGCCCCATTTAATAGTGAGCTATAAATGTCATAATTAACGAAACTATTTATCAGCTTGAATGCAAAATTGCTGATTTATGTGATATTGTGCTTAAATTTGCATGAAATATTGAGTAAATTTACGCAAATCTAGCATTAATAACGTGTTCGTTATGTATCACAGAAATTTAAATGAATTCATACGGCTCATTTATCATATTAATTCAAGAATACCAAAATTACAACACAAAATCGGTACAATACTGTACCTATTGCACGCAACAGTTCGACGAAAACACATTCGATCCTTGTCTCCTCTCTTCTGCGCTGCGATTGGCACTCCGCATCAACCCATGAAGGCGTGGTTTGAAGTCCTCTCTACATTTTTCTCATCTACGAGGATAGCTTCTTTAGTCGACATGTACGCTTTTGAAGCATGCTTTCAATGGTAATTCAATGCCGTAAACTCTATAAATTGCTTTGAATTTTCATACTTGGCATTTTACGAGTGTCCCGCTGCATCACAAAACAAATTATGCTTATCTGTCGTTTTGTCCGTTTTTTACTAAAAAGAGACACTCATATGCTTACCGTTATTGAAAAGCAGGTTCAGTCGAACAGACTGCTTGCACATGGAAAATTTCTTACCCTCACTTTTTAGCACTCGTCAAATATATGAACGTTGGATGCTCTACATAAATTCTCTGTCATTGTCAATATCATATTGGCTTTTGCGTTTTACTTTTGTGAAGTTATGAAATCGTTTCATGGTCAAGCGATAGCAGTAGTCAGCGAAAATTGCTTTACCGTATTTCAGGCTTGATTGAGCAAACTGCGAAGTACTAAGAAAAGAGTATTTATGGCGTATGAGGTCAGAACCGAACGCAGGCCTCCATAACAGACAGACTATACAGATAATTTTGTAGATAGAACATTGGTTAAAGTTTGAAGGTTCTTTTCCACACATTCAATAAAAGTTATCTATTAAGTATAATGCACACTTTAAGGATCTATTCCAAGAATCAAACAACATGTCTTTAAGAAAATAAAGGGTCACAGTATTTGTTGGAAGTCGTAAACATATATTCTGACCTCAACTTCTCAAAATGAGTTATTGAGTTATTTTTTTTGCAACTCTGGTTCATGGGCTTCATGCGAATTTTGTAGACAGAACATTGGCTAAAGTTTGAAGGTTCTTTTCCACACATTCAATAAAAGTTATCTATTAAGTACAATGCACACTTTAAGGATGTATTCTAAGAATCAAACAACATGTCTTTAAGAAAATAAAGGGTCACAGTATTTGTTGGAAGTCGTAAACATATATTCTGACCTCAACTTCTCAAAATGAGTTATTGAGTTATTTTTTTGCAACTCTGGTTCATGGGCTTCATGCAAAAAAAATCCTTGATCCATGGATTCAATCGGGTTTTTATCCTTTGAATACCAATGCAATTTTTAAGAAACTTCCCGGTGAGCAGTCTGACTGGAGTCTTGATTATTTGTACAGAAAATTAATTGATGTAAAGAAATAAAGTCGATCCATAAATGAACCTGCTTCGAAATAAAGAAGAGTCATGTCAGGTATATATCAAACTAAGTTAAAATCAGTGTTTGGAAAATCATTCTTAAATCTCACTAATTGAACACTCCTGAGCGAATAAACAAGCATATGAATTTGCAATCAAATCTCATGCATTTTCACGCATTTTTATGTCTTGCTTCAAGCACAGCACACTACGATCTCCTAAGCATATCAGATTCGATATTCAGTAGAAAACTCAGCTTTTCGTCAGTCATCTATTCCTCAATTTGCTATTGATCAATGCTGATGTGTTAAAAGTTCTTACCATCATTAAGATAAAATCGCAGACTAACGTATAGGTTTGAGGGCATTATCAACCAGTTCTTCATCATTGAGAAAAATTGCCTGTTAAGATGCTGTCATAATCTTACCAAATGCTACAAATTGAACGATTTCATCTGCAGGCAGGCTTGTTAAATCATAGAAATTTTCAGCTTCAAGCCGTAGCTTTGCAAAGATCAAAAAGACCTTGTTCCTGGCATGAACCGATTGATACGCTTCTCGCCTTTGTTGTGCTTGTGAAAGCTGGATGCTGGTTAAATAGGGTCTATTCACCTTTCCATAGGTACGTGGATTTGATAAAAAGTCACAAATTGTTGAGATATTGTTTAAAATCTAATACTGCTTCTTGATTATAAATTAGTTCTACGAGTTTCAATTCCGTCCTAACGCATTGAAACGCCATTAGATTTTCTTTGTTCTACGGATAAACGTAGAAAAGGTGATTCGCTAGGAGCGCTTCTTTTGTTTTGAGAACAATGATCGTAAATATTCATACAATCCGTTCTAACAGGATTTATGTTGTAGCTAATGAACTAACGTATCAGAATATACCTATTATTGATTTTTGCACGGTGATTTCATTGATATTATTGATCTTTTCTGATCTATAGAACGGAAAATGGCTATTACGACGAAGTAGCGCTCTACTCTATGACATCAAGAATTGAAACGCTTGAAACTTTCTTTACAAACACTATGAATGTTTAAGGATGTTATTTTCAAGTTCTTCCATTCGTGGGTATGTAAAGGAATACGGGGCAAGAACGCCACCCTAGGCAATAAATTTAGTAGTTCAAAATGAGTAAGAAATTTAACATTTTGCCATGCTACTATGAATTTTTATGTTTTTCGTCAATTTTTGGAACAATTAAAAAAACTCGTTCTTTTAAAGTTGGAGTTAGAAGGACTACCAACGAGATAAGACGAACCATGACAGGGTTTCCGACACATAACCCCGCATGAGAATTTGAAAGTAGGCTCAATGGGAGTGGGATGATGCATATATTATGTCACGCTCTAAGCAGGAGGCGATTGTAAGATTTTGTTGCAAACAATGCATTAGGGATAAGAAAAACGTGACGAAAGGGGAGAGAAGGGCTATTTTTTCCTTAATTTAACGTGACATAATTTAAGTATGGCCTCTAATAGTGAGTGGCCAGGATAGCATTGGCCACACCAGGACATATTTTGATTACCCTCGGCAAAGTGGTCAAAATAATATTGGATCAAAACCCATCATGCGACACGTCCAATCTCATGAGAATTGCAAAATATTGTCATTGGTGGTTATATTATGTACGGTCTACACATTGTAGACGAAATACGCGTATCTGTCAATGATAAGCAAATAAGGTAGTGGAATTAAATTGAAATTACTAATCCTTCTCTCTCTCTCTCTCTTTATACAGGTATTTCACTAAGCCGCCCACATTCATCAGTATTCTCAAAAGCTGTTAACGTGGAGTGTGGGCAGCCCCATAATATTTATGATTATGCATTTTTTTTTTACATTTTGGTGCTAAACACATTTAATTCATATAGGCTCAAGGTGTTAAGAAAATACTACTATTGGTATAACGCTTAAAGCATAATCCTATGTCTGATGAAAACTGTCCTTCTGGAAAG